AAGCGGCCTCGGCTGAGGTCGCCCAGACTGTGCCTGACTTGCCCCAAGGCAGGTGGGTGTGATTTAGGCCTGGGTGGCATCTGAGCGACAGGGCTACCACTGACTGAGCGCTTGACCAAAACGTGGTTGCTTTGCGCCTGGATCCGCCATACACGCAGCTGTCGAATGTTCCGAAGTGGATTCTATCCTTATGGTCTCTCCACAGGCTTTGCAGCGGTGTGCAAAGCCAGAACAAACTTGACTGCGGATTTTCCAATGACCAGCAGATGCCGGCCTCAATGCATGCTCTAATGACTAGTGCCGTGAACTGATAGAGTTTGTTCGCTGCCTTGACTCGCTGTCTCTGTGCGAACCCCAGTGTGGGCAGCCCGTCAGGGTGCAGCGGACTGCGGAGCGGCTGTGGGGAGTCTGCACCTGCAAAGATATTTCTGGCGGCACTGCTGGTGCCACATGGTGGGGCTAAATGTACGGCTGAGATACGTCTGGAGCGAAGAAGATCAAAAATTAGTTTCTGGCTCTGAGGTTGTGCCAGGTCTAGGCTGAGCCCTGCGACACCGCTGGGCTTGACTGAATCGACTGCCAAAACTTGCAGACCAAGCCTGGCAAATGCCTTGGACATGCGGGCTGTGCCTGCAAAGAGTTCCAGAAAGAGTGTGCCCCCAGTTCCAAAGCCAGAGAAGCCCGAGAAGCAGCCCTTCAAGAGGACCTGGGATCAGTCTTTTCAAGGCGAGAAGGGCAGCAAAGGAAAGGGCAAGGGCAAGTTCATGCAACAGGCATGGCAGAGTGGCAAGGCAGGCAAGGGCAAAGCTGGAAAAGGCAAAGACAAAACTCAGACGTCTGTCCCAGCCGCGCTTAAAGGTCTGGACCCTAACTTCAAGGGACAGCCGATTTGCTTCAATCACAGCCTGCCCCATGGCTGCAGCGAGGAGACCTGGCAGACAGACCTAGGCTTGACGTGCCGCAGAGGGCTTCACATCTGCATGAAGTGTCATGGCGAGCACTCGTATTCTGCATGTGACAAGTGAAGCCCGGTGACCGTGGTGCCGCAGGAGCAGCCGAGCTCTGTTGGTACCACAGTCTCAGACGGCACCACAACAGCCCAGGTACAGGCAGGGACCGCAAGCTGCGACCTCAGCCGAGAACACAGCCCGCTCAGACAGGGAGTGACGCCAGGGGGCGCGGCAGTCACCTCAGACACGGCGCCTCAGCAAGCTGAGGTGTCAACTCAGCCAGCCAGCCCGGTTGTTAAGGAACACGAGCAGGCACAAGAACAGATCAGACAGCAGCCTCCCATAGCCAGACAGGAGGCAGAACCGCCCCCGCCACCTCCAGCGGCCGTTGGCTCCAGGCACAAGGAAGTAGGCTACTTGCATGCCGTGCTGCCAGTTTTTAATGGCGTTGTCGATGGCGTCTGCCTTGCCTGGGCCTGTGAACTCACTGCCGACTTGCTCTGCGACTCGCACCCACAGCTCTCTGTCTGCTCTAAGAAGGGCGTCAATGCCTGGCGCCTCGAACTTAGGCGGGGGTGGCCTGTGCAAGTGCTCTAGCAGCGTCCTGGCATAGGCTTCATGGACCTCAAAGGTCCCAATGCCTGCCATCTCCATGGCTAGACCGCGTCTGCTTAAGGCCTGAGCCACCCTGAGTTCGGTAGACAGGTCGACCTTAAGCGGCTGAGGCTTGCTCGCCAGCCGCAGGGCTGAGTTCTCAAGCCTAAGCAGGTGTTCGTCCTTCTTGACGTTCGCAACTTCCTGCTCTCTGCAACTGCAACGGTGCAAGGGCACATGCCGCACCGACTGGTCAGAGAGCATGCTGCTAAAGGCATCGACTAGCTGATGACTCGGTTCATATTGCCCAGAAATGCGAAAGCTTCCGAGCTTGGACTGCAAGGCCTGCAGACGACTGGTTCTCTCTTGTGTGGAAAGTCTGCGGGTCGGCTCTGAGCTTGGCTGTTCCAGACTACTGCGCAACTCTGCTACCACGAAGGTACCTGCCTCGAAAAGGAGCCGGTTGACTGCAGAAGCGACTGAGTCTGTGGCTGGGGGCTTCATGCTCTTCAGAAGCTTATCCAGCTTGCCACTGTCTATGGCATTGGGTGCGCTGGCCACGCGAAACAGCAGCTGAGAGTAAGTCTGGATTCCGTCTGTGGCCCATGCAGTAAGGCTTTCCTCAGGAATGCCGTGCTGGGCTGCTTTTGCCCGGAAGGTGACTGTGGAGTCACTCACGGAGGCCATGGCTGTCCTGCGATCGCACTAAGGACACAAGTCCTAACGCATCCGCAGATCTAGTCAATGACTCCACTTCCGACTCAATCGAGCCTCTCTGTCGGGCTGCTGCTGCTGCTGTCTGTTGCCTGCAGGACCACAAGGTCACACTGGGCACCACAAGGTCCAGAGATGAATGCCGCACCTGCCTGGAGGTCTGCGCGCACCTGGCTCAAGCCCGGTGGTTGCAGACTCTGTGTGCACAGGGCTGGCCTGGTGCCGTCTTGGAGGGACACAGCCCGCCCGCTACAAGGCTCAAGCCAAGGCGATGCGCGAGACTGCTTTCTGGGCAAGGCTCAAGCACTTGCTTAGTCATAACGGCACACAAGTGCACTGGAAGCTCACCTTTTGGCTCAAGCCACAGGGCGGCAGTCTGAGAACTCACTAGGTGAGACAAGACTGCAAAAGGCTGGGCTGAAGCTAGGAAGAGGCACACAAGTGCCGCCCAACCACTGGCATACACAGCCGGACTGGAAGAAGTAACGAAATATTCAGCTCTAAGGCGATCGCGGCTGAGCCCAGGGCTGGGTCTAGTCTGAAGCAGACAAGAAGGAGGGCACCAGGGCCCAAGGCGTGGCTGTTCAGACTGAGAGAGGCTATGACACAGACTGGGCTAGACTGAGGCAGGCTGTCACTCTCACCAAGGAGGGGGGGGGCCTGCTGTGGCACACAAGCACAGTGACACCACAGGTTACGACATGCTGCGGTACCTTGGCTTCATCGTCTGCGCTGGCTGCGGTGTGACCCTGACAGGAAAACAAGGCCCACAGAACACTGGACTGAAGCCCGCCTGGAACATGACAGCGAGGACAGTCATGATGGTCATGCCAGGCCCCCCCCTCCTTAGTGAGAGTGAGGGGCCTGGAACAGGCCATGGCCCGACACTGAGGACACACCGAAAGGCAAAAGCCATCGGTACGATGACCGTGGTCACGTAGTGCCCTTGGTAGGCGGCTGTCGCGGGCTGTGGAGAGGCTAGGGAGTACGGCGGCACAGCCGGTAGGAGGCCGTGCGCGCCTACCGCCTCCCATTTTGCATAGTACAGGCCGGAATTGTATCCGACCAGCTCGTTCGGAAAAGCCTGCAGCGCGTCTGAGCTGGCTGAAAAAGGCTGTGCCGGCTGGGGCAGTGGCTGCTGAGGTCTGACTGGCTGACGCAGCTGACCGGCAACGGGGCCGACACCGCGCGTTCCACCCTGCGCTGTCTCAGGCCGCTGCAGTGGTGGGTCAGCCACCAGTGGTGGTGGCTGTGCCTTTGGCTGCGGCGACTGCTTGGGCTGCACCTGAGTCTGTGGCTGCTGGACCTGGGCTGTAGTGGTCTGTGCCTGCAAGTCTGCGGCAACTAAGGCAGGTGGCGGCGAGACTGTGGGCGCCTTGGCCATTGGCTGTCCCGGCCGGGCTTTCACCGGCGGCTCCTTGACGACTGGGGTCCGACCGCCGGCGCCCTTGCCTGCGCCTTTCTTACTGATGGGCGGCACTTTACCCATAGCAGCCTGAGCCTGGGCTAAGCCTGGCTGTGTCACCTGCAAGGCTGTCTGAGAAGGGTCTGCCGTAGCTGCTGTTGTCTGAGGTGCCGGCTGCATGCTGTCTGTGTCCTGAGTCATGGCCTCGGTTTGGTCTGCCCAGGACTGACTGGGCTGGGTAGGTGGCTCGTCGTCTTCCTCCTCAGTGGAGGAGGGCCCATACTTCAACCGCCAAGATGCGGTGCCTAAGCCGGTGTCCACGATCACCTGGCTGCCATCGTCTTGGGCCTGTCTGACACGACTGGTGTGCTCGATGACCTGTTCGAGTCTGCCTTGTAGGTCTGGCGGCAGGTTGCTGAGGCTCTCGACTAAGAGGTCGCCATCACGGCTGAGCAGCGCCACCCACTGCTCCTCTGTCTGGTGCACCTGCTCTACCCATGACTGACCTTCTGCTCCACCATCTGCCTGAGACATGGCTGAGCGTTCTAAAGGCGAGACTCTGTCTGTCTATCTGCAAAAATTTTGGCACCTGAGCCAAAATGGACGTGGCGATCACAGTTAAAGTCTGATACATGTATACATGCCTTGATTAGATGAAACTGAGATGGGTTCTGACTCAGGGCCCCCTAGCTGGGTGACGTATAAGCCGGTGCTTAATATCCGAGACGGAGAACAAGTTTGGCACTGCATTACACATATCGCAGGCGGTTCGAATGCAAAGCCTCAGCCGCATGTCTTGGAGGTTTTAACTTAGTGCCCAGTACCTAATCCTCCTCCCTGCAGCTCGAAAGTGCAGTGACACTCGCTTTTGGCTGCAGTTTCGACCCCCCAACCCCCCCCTCCTTGCTAACCCTTCGCTTTTTTTGCACCTCCTCTCCCCCTCCCGTTACATGAGCATTCGATAAGCCGAGGCGGGCGGCATAGCGTCAAAATTTCCGGCAGTCTTTGCAAACAAACCTCCAGCAATACCTTTCCCACTTTCCGTGCTACACGGTGCTACCAGTAATCGACGTCGCCATCCTCGCCGCCATCGTCGTCCAACGGCACAAGCATACTGCTCCTACCTAGACTGGCTGCTGCAGGCGCCCTTCATTCAAACCCGTAGGGGTGGTCGGGCCGAGCCTATTAAATCAATACGGCTGGGGGAGTATTCTTGAATCTCGACTTGCATGTGCCGAAAGCATACTATTATGTAAAATGCAATGGGCATTCGCGGATGATGTGGATAACTGTCGCAGAGACTAGTGACTTGCAACTGGTGCAGCACGCTACTCTTCCTCCGGCAACTTCAGCGTCAACTGCGGCTGCGCCCTCCGACGTCCTGGAGTTCTTTGCTCAACGCTTCATCGTGTTAAGTTATGTCGTGTTCAAACGTCCACATGTGCTCCTGGAACCGGTGGCGGTTCCACCGAAGGTCTCCTGGAGCTCCTTGTCCCACTGCCGGGCCTTTCTGCCAATCTGCCACTCTGTTTCTCTCCTTGTCGCTTTGTATCGCTCGGCTGTTGTCTCGCCTCGGCATCCTTGCCCTGAGAGCGAGCGCAGTCGACCGCCCTGCGGCACTCCTGAATTCAAGTTCAGGCTGCAGAAGGTGCGGCTCGTTTGGCGCACCCGTTTGCCTCTTCAGCCTCTTTTGCTTTCCCCATGCTCTTCAACGCCAAACCCCGCAGCCAGCGCCTCAAACGGGCTCAAAGGCACAGGAAGAAGCTGAGAATTCCAAGACAGATAGGGCACGCATGAGCATTGTTGAAGTCAAACTGAAGCACGTCCTGCAGCGGTCCGCGATCTGCCGCTTATGCACTTTAGTCTGTCTGTCTGTCTGAACCGTGACGATGCAAGCCTCAGACAGCTCTTTGACACGACTCCAGCGATTTGGAATCTCTGTCATCTGCGCGATCGACACTGCCTCGCGGTGCTGAACACTCCGACTTCCCAACCTGGCAGCCTGGCTCAGCCTGGTATGCACGCAAAACCAAGGCCAGAGCCTGATGAAGCCGTCCTTTCAGCACTGTCTCCAACTCCTCGACTTTGCTGGGTCAAGGACAACTTATTGAGGTCATGCAAAAACGCAGCAATCTGTGCAGCCCGTTCCGATTTCGTATTTTTGTCTCACGCGCGGCTGCCACCAGCATGCCGACTGTAGTTCGCGCCGTTGCGGCCGCTGTGCGACAAACACGATCGCAGGGCCGTCCAAGTTCGAGCTCTCCAAGCGGCGAGCGGCATGTAGCAGACATGCTGTCTGGCGTGCTGAGGCGCCTGGGCTGGCGCCTTCCTCTGCCGTCGCGTTGCTCGAAGCTTCGCTACGGCATCCACGAAGCGCATGCGGTCCGTCAAAAACTTCTCCATGGAGCTCGAAGCTGTGCTTGCACCACAGCTGGGTATCACGTGCTGAGACTGGCCTCTTCGCCTGCGCTGTCTGCATCCGCGCTGGATGTCGGTGACAGATGTTGCCTCGCAGTCAACTTCTCGCCCCCTTCTTGATTCCGAAAAGCTTGACATGGACTTTCAGGCCAAGTGGGCCATGGCCCTGAGTGTGTACAAGTGCGATCCATGTGACTTGCCGATGATCTGGCTTGCATGACTGGTCCCGTCAGGCTCGGCTTCTTCGATATGGCTTCTAGACCTGGCTACAAGTATGTGAAGTGTTGAAGCGCCATGCCACTGCTCGATGCTTGGCAGTCAGGTACTCAGGAAGATGCCAGTAAATGAGCCCGGAGACGGAGACAAAAACCTGGACAAGTCACGAATGCTGCGTGCAGACGTACCAAGCTTCGAAGTACGGGGTCAAGGCACGGCGAAAATGGCGTAAGCAGCATGACCGCCAACAGTGTCAAACAGAAATCCTCCTGAGGCAATCCGGGCTTCCAAGCATACTAGATCATACTAACCAATCAATCACTGCAATCGAGACTTGCGTGTACATCTGTCAGGTCCTCCCAGCAAACCTTGGCACTGTGCAAACAGGTCGTTGCATATCCAAGCCCTAAGCTCGTCTAGCAGACGTGGGAGTGTAGACGAGGCACCCAGAATAGGTCCAAGACCGAGGAAGCAGGCAGTGAGCAATCCCTGGGATGATGCCTGTAAACCTTCTCCAGACACAGCAGGCTTCGCTACGTGGTCAATAGCACCCTCGGTTGCCGTCCCAGCACTTTGCGAAAGCTTGGCATGAAGCTGCAAAAAGAGACTCAACTCGAGGGGCGTTTAAGCCGGAAAGCCACCCAAGCCAGAGCGAAGGTCACCCCGTGCAGCGGCTCCACCAGGAGGACAGCCCAAGCGGCAGACATCCGGGAGTAAAACAAAGCGCGGGCGACCTGACGCTTCCGCTTCAGAAGAGGAGAGAGGCGCTGCCCACCACCGACCCTCATGTAATGTCATAGGTCTGAGGTCGCGCACCCAAGCCAATTGCGCAAGCAAGATGAGCTTCGTCGTGCCAAACCGCCGGAGTAGGCTGCTGGCCTGCGCGATTGTGAGCCGGAATATTGGATCCAGTTTCGGCCCCCATTGCACATGCTCCCAGACTTCAAGACAGGATGAAGACAAGTCGCGTAGGCGAAGATTGGTAGCTCAAAAATCACGGTGACCTGAAGCGTGCAAGGCTCTGATTCTTCATTCGACCGCTCAGCCGAGCCATGTGCAGAGACTTTAGATGCTGATAAGGTGCCATCACTGACAGGCCACAAAGAAAAGTCGACGCCTGTCAGAGATTTCAACTTGAACAAGCAGCAAACTACACAGGTTGCTCTTGTCGCCTGCAGCTGCTGAAGTAGAAGGAAAAGCATGCCTGATACAAGCCCAATCAAGCCGAACACAAGCCCTGCAATTCCTCTGCGCTGCTAGGCCTTCCACCATTGAGAAACCTGCACCCAAGATGGTGATGTTCGCGAAGAACCATTTGTTCCTGCAAGGTCTGACCGTTCGTTCTTGCACGTTCTATGCATCAACATCTCGCTGCATCCAATACACGGGCCACCACAAAAATGGAAGGTCCTGGCAATAATTCCAAAGACGGAGCGGAAGCTGACCTCTCCCCTAGCTTCGCCGCAAGCTTCCGGCATCCCAGAATATGTCACGAAGAGAATAGCTCCCAGTGTGCAGAAAGATGCGAACATGACCTCAAGTCACCCGCATCTGTCCAACAGAATTCTCGGAAAACACCTATGGTGCAGTCCAGAGAGCGCTGAAGCCATAGCTATCAAGCCTGAGCTGAAATTTGAATTGCTCCAGCCTGGCGCAAACACTCTACGGCTCTACGGAGAGCCCAAAATCAGGGAAGCAGCAGAGGTCCAAGCACCAAGTGCATGCCTCCCCAGCCGATTGCTCCATAGATCCTGGCCTGACCCCAGGTGTCAGCATCCTGCTGACCTGCAATCGTAGGGTTGAGGTTCAAGGGTTGAGGGTTTAGGGGCCTTGCTACTTGCAGATTCAGCTGAGTCGAGATGCAAGCAGCGAGCGCCAGTGGATCCATGATTGAGAGGGCTGGGGCCCCCATCAAAGAGAACGCCCACAGGGCCAAACTTCGAATTACCTCAAATCAGAAGCACAGGAGCTCTCGAAACATTTGGCAATTCCAGGATTTGTTCAAAAGATTCTTGTGTAAGCCGCTAGCCAGCCCTTCTCGATCGTGAGCGACGGGTATGCGGAGAGCCATAAATGGCGCCACACTCGCCTAAGCTTTCAGGCTGAGAGCTGCAGATCGGAGGTGCGATGCAACCTGTGTTGTGTCTCTGTGTCCAGCCGCAGGGCTAGCAGTGATGCCAGCTGGATCGTCCTTGCCTTCTTCGTGGAATCAGCCAAGGCATTCCAAAGGGGAGTCGCTGCCGTCATGAGACCCCGGCGCACTGCGATCCTCTTCGGGCAGAAAACAGGTCACCACTGACGTGCCTCTATGCCGAATACGTCCAAGGGGCATGAAGCCTATCTCGACCGCGAGGAAGCCATCGGCTTCGAAGTAGAGGGTCAAGTAGCGTTCATACGTCGCGAAGAAGCAAAAGCTCGCCTTGGCTTTCAGATGTCTTGGAACTCTGATTGTTAGCTTTGTCAAACTAACAACATATTATAACTAATTTACTTTCAGGGTTCAGGCTGGCGTTCTCAGGCAGAGCACAAAGTAGTAGGCTTTCACTCGCCAGAGTGGCACCGGGGCGCCTGTTTCGCCCATGCATCGCGCAGAAACGCACAAGGAGAGCAACTCTTGAGCTGCGACAGCGATATGCAGAGTCAGTGGGACCAGCGGGAGGCACAGCAATCACACAGACTTTGGACACTGAGACGAGGCATGACGAGCGTCCTGGGCATTCAAGCTGGCCAGACCCCCACCGAGCAGCGGTCGCATGGCAGCCTGGAGCTTTGAGCTTCGCGAGCAGCAGCCGACAGCTGGGCTAAACGGCCTCTGCATCCTCAAACAGCCTTCAGGAACGTGCTCTAGAATGGAGCTGAAGCACAATGAGAGGCAGGCCTCAAGACGTCCTTTTGCGAACCCTTGGAAGTGTATGCATCCTTCAGGAGGGCTTTTCTGTACTTCTTTTTCGCGCTGGCTGCTCACCGCTGCTGCAGGACCTGCGCCCTCTGGTAGAGGGCCTGTGCTCGCTGGCTGATCTCCTGACGATCCTGTCGCGACCGCAGCAGAAGCTGAGCTGCAAAAACCCAGAAGCACTGGAATTTGCCGAATTCGCCTCTTCGTCATCATCGATGATGCCAGACACTTTGGAAAATGAAGACGTCATAATCCAGATTCCACTGCGACTTTTGTAACTCCTGCTTGTTGCACCCTTTTTGTGAGTTTTGTGTTTGCGACTACGATTAGGTGCCACACACCCTGGCGTTGAAGGCCCAAGATTGTCATATACTAGCAGCACACTGCTATACCTAGCATACGGAGGCTGATGATACGCACATGCTCTTGGTCGGCTCTACAGTATCATGCTTCTTCACATGCGATGCTAATCATTCAACCTCTTTGTTTCAAGCCATTGCGACCTCCCTGATTTGAGCAAACGCTACGCAGCAGAAACTCAAGCATCTGGGATGCTGCATGGCACGAGAGGCGTGCTACCAACATTGCGCAGTGATGCAGTGCACAGCCGTGATTCGAGAACAAACATCGCGCAGACACCATCACTTCGACTCTGGTGAAACTCATCATGTGCCCAGAGGTGGGCCGCGGCAGAAGAGCCGAAAGTCGCCGCTCAACTGCACCCGTCTGCGAAGCAACCACTCAGTGGTGTTTCGCACAGTCTTGCCTGTCCACGCAGGCTTCGCCACACGCAATGCAAATGAAGCAATCCCTAAGGCACGGACTTGGCAAGTGTTATGCAGCATCAGCCGATGGCTCCTGAAGTGACTTCACAGCTTCACCACAAACAACCTATGCATTCCTTGCTGGTCATGCCGGAAGTAAATTTACTTGGTCACTCGGCACACCAGGCGAGGGGCGATAGCACAAAGAAGCAAGAAGCTTGCGTGCATGCCCGTTGTCCTGATCTTTGCGGAGTTCAGGTGTGGATGCACTCGACCTCAAGTCAAGCCATGCTCACACTGTGAGGGTCGAACATGTGCACCGCCCTGAAAGGCATCTGGACTGATTCAGTCGATGCATCGATCTGCATGGAACAGCCATGGAAGCTAAGACCGGCGCTTCATGCCCCTTGCTTTGGGGTTGTCACGGCGAGCATCGATCTTTGGTAGCCTGGAAGATCAGCTCAGGAAGCGGAAGCCTGAAGCTCAGATTCTACGTGACGTAGTACCAAGTCCAAGTGGGATGATCCACATCGGCTCGCTGCGACATCCGAAAATTCCACCCATATTACACTACGGCACCGGCTCGTGCGAAAGAACCCTCCCCCAGGCCTGTTTGGACTCACACCACCTGCGTTTAAGGGTCGTATGGCCACCTGCATCAGCACAGTTTTTGACATGCGAACATGGCGCGATCCAGCGGTATGACTGAAGATGTGAAACAGAACATCGCCCACGGCAACCGACACTGATAGACACGGCTCATCACGGCTCTCTGGGCGGCCTTGGCTCCAAGGTTCTCTCCAGGAGGCCAGTGCTCCTGCAGCCTAAGAGCAAACCAGCAGAGCGGAACAGAAAGGGAAGTCAGACTTCGAATGTGACTTCTTGGAGCATTCGTAAGCTCACGTCGAAGACTGACTGCGACTCTCGGCTTTTCGGCACTCAAAAGTCCCAGTATTCTGAGACGCACACCCGATCGGTTGCGGTCTCTTCACACGCAGCAGGTCAACATCGATGGGGGCTGAGCAAGACGCACATTTGCCTGCTGCGAGGGCTGCGTGGGAAGTGTAAGACACTGTGCATCCACTTCTAAGGCTCCGGTGCCTAGTAGCTGGCGCTTGGCGAACAATGCAACTTTCTCGCCAGCCGAAGCTCCCACCACCTGCAACTGGTGCGAGGCTCGTTACATGGGTAGAGGCTCTCCAGCTCGGGCCTGCTTGACGAAGTCCGCAACTTGTTCATGATCAGGCTTCGATTGGAGGGCTTGCACCACACTGGCGGAACAGCGTAAGATGGCTCCCGTCGTTCTCATGGTGAGTCACACGAACAGACCTTGCCTGGACTTGAAGAGTTCTATCCACTGCCGGATCTCATCACGCAGTTCCTTCAGGTCTGATTCTGAGGGCAAGGTCGTTCCACAAAGGATTCACAACAAGAGCTTGCACTGAACATAGCTGCAACTGGGGCATCTCCTGTATGGCACGCTGCATCTCTTGGGACATACCTGTCGCCGGACCAAGTTTTCGATTGAGTTCCCAGACTGCCGAGTCCAACGACAATCGAAGTGTAAATGGCCTTGAAGTGCCTTGTCGCGCATGTCCTGCATGCAGGTTCTATGCTTGCGCGGAGCCCAGGCTTCAGCTGCAAGGCAACTGCCTTGCTGTCGCGTCTGCCTGCAAAGCTAAGAATGTAACCAAGTGGGCCCGATCTTCTTTTGAAACATCCGGGTCCCGGCCTTCGACTGGACCGCGTGGACTCGGTTCCTGATGCGGGTCCTCACGGGGCGACTTGAATGCGAGGAGTGCCTCCTCTGCAGGCTCTCTTGGACAATTGCTCGGAGGTGTCATTTACCTGAGCCTTCAAGCTAATGGACATGATCTTTGATATGATCAACGCTTTACACATCCGTTGCTTTGCAAGAGGTGTCAGAGGTCCTGTGCTCACAGCACTAGAGGCCGGGAGAAGGCGAGAGGATGAGGACCGATGTGCTCTGGATCTACGGCTAAAGCTGAGGCACGAATATGCATACAGCCTTTGGCAAGCGTGGCGAGGCTGCGACATGCTCAGTCGCGTCGAAGCACGCTTGATCAGGTCTTTGCCTGTTGGAAGCGAAGCCCTAGGAGAGAGAGAGAGAGAGAGAGAGAGAGAGAGAGAACGAGAGAGAGAGAGAGAGCCGAGCTGCTTCCTCCATTGCGCACAGGCGGGGCCGCAGAAAGCTCTCCGTTGAGAGTCTCAGCAAGTTACGATGAAGCCTTTGATCGCAAGCTTTCGGCGAAGAGGTAGCCAACGGGAGTTGACAGCGCGAGCACCACCACAATGGTTGAGAGCTGTGTTGGGCTCAGCGAGTTCTGCAGGAAGAAGCAGGTGGCGAAACCAAGAGAAGACTGCAACATGCAGTTAGCAAATGCTCCCTCCGTCTTCTCCCCGGGGAAGAAGTCAGAAAATGTGGCTCTGTTGGTCGATTCATACACCGCCCGAAAGGATCCCTGCAGAAGGTACAAGGAAATCAAAAACCAGCCCCATCCTGCGCAGCCTTGCCAGGTCAAAGCTGGAATCGCGAAAGCACAAACTGCACCTGTGATAATGATAGGGCCCTTGCCAATCTGAGCTCCCAAGGGGCCATAGCCTTTTGCAAGAACTGCAGCAGTAAGGGCTGTGATTGCTCCAAGGAAGGCAACGTACTCGGCACCAAGCTCCTGAGCAGCATAGGTAGCGTTGACAAAGCCATTCATGTAGGCTGCGCAGAAGCCGAAGGCAAGGTTGGTTGGGGCCAGGAGCCACAAGGTGGGATCTGACCACAAGGATGTGGCCGCGAGGGCCTTGCTGAGCGGATCTGCATCGCTGGTGGCGGAGCGGAAGTTGTAGACTTGAGTCATGCCGATCAAGGAAAGGACCCCGGCTCCAAAGTAGATGAGGCCGATCTGAGACACTTGCAGGCCCAATGCCTGCAGACCGGAGAAGCCTAGCTTGCTGAAGACTTCCAACAGGAGGTAGTAGAATGCAAACTGGCTGGACAGCTCAGCCGTGGCATTCTCTCGACTTTGCTCTGTGCTCTTCGAGAGCTCAGTTGCAGAGCATGCAAAGTAAGCGCCTTGAGCTGTCCACAGGACGCCAGCAGCCAACCCGCCGCACGCTGATCCTATAGTGAACAAAAGCTGTGTAGCATCTCCATAGAAGAGCGCCAGTGCAAAAAGGCCAATGTAGATGCAGTAGAAGAACATTCCGAACACCAGTCCGCCCTTTGGACCAAACCTACCCACTGCAGGAGCACCAAGAAACAGCGAGCTAACCAGCGTGACCGCATAGAGAAGGCCATTTCCGAAATTCGCAACGTCAAGCTGCAAGAGAGTGGTTGCTACTGCAAGGGGCGTGGTGACTACCCCATGGTTCAAAGCAAAGCAAACACTCATAAGAACAAAGTTGGAACGGACGTCGTCTGAGTTGATCTCGCTGTGCGCTTCGGAGTCATCCGACCCTGCTTTGCTCTTGATGCGCTGACCACGCCAACGCACCGATGCACAGCTACAGGCGCTGAGAAGGCAGGCGCTGGATTTACTGAGCAGTGAACAGTCTGCTCTGCCTGCGGCCACAAGCGATGAGCCCAGTGGCCAACTGCTCTGGTGGCCGTCGCGGTATCTTAAGCACTTTGCTGACTTTGCTCTCTCCGCGGTACCATGCGTCTGCAGCATCATCTGATCCCCTGCCCTAGCCCCGACTCCCACTTCCGAGACTCGATAGCCGGCCTCTACTGCCAGCTTCCTACCGATCCTCAAACCAGCCGATTTTGCTTGCAAGGGTTGCCCAGTGAAACTGAAAGTGCTTCCAGGTTGTGCTCATGCGGAACAGTCATTGTTCTGAACTGAATATTGAGCCCCACAGTTGCAGAGGCCTAGCTCAGCCAGATTCATGCACAGTGTATGTCAAGCTTGATCATTATATCAACTCACACATCGTCCGCAATGCTGGAATTCGTGTCAGCCCACTGCCGGAACACGAATGTGCAGAATGGCCTCCATAGAAGATATTGCCACAGCCGGCGACAATCGCACCTTCCGAGTCTGCTGCTGTCCATGTTGTATTGTTGCGCTATTTTCAAGGTGTTACTGCCGTTATCATTGGAAACCACAGCAATGTTTACCATGAGCGAAATCTCGTTTGGCTTGATGGTGACCATCATACTTATTCTGTAGTACCACGACGAGAAGTGGTGCTGAGTGCTTCCCTATTGTCAGCACGGGAATATCAGCACACTCATACTATTATACGTACTGTCTTGTTCAAGTCATTGGCAGAAGCACGATGGCACGCTGACAACTTCTGGTGTAGCGGCTGTGACTATTCTCGTCTGCTTGCAGATCTTTTTTTGTAAGAACTGGTCTTCTTTTGCAGTTCACCAGAAGCTGGTGTTGTTCTTTTTTTTGGTTCTTCTGTTACTACCAACCTTGCATCTTAAACGTGCTCTGTATGACTGTTCTTATTCCGAAGCCGTCCTGGTGCCTTCATACTGCGTCTTGCTACGACAATATCTGTCCATGCTACATCCGAATCCTTTCTAGCCATTGGTGCCAGTACTGCTCTCATTTCCGCCATTTCCACTACTACTGGGCATGGCTACCATGTATAATGCAAGTATCATGACAAACAGCTCTCCAAGACAAATCCTACCTCTAGTCGTTGTGAAACTCGTGTACCAACCAGGAAGCTCGAATGCGAACCTAGGGGGGCACTCTGGCAAGCCAAGACTTGGGAGGCTTTGTTTATGCTCCTTCCACCTCGAGCTTCAGCGGATGCTCCCACAAGTGACCAACTAGAAAAGGCAGCGAAACGCAAGCGAGTCGTGCAAGTAAAAAGATCTGAATGCATCTTCTGATACTCTCGATAAAACATGACGAGACGAGGCAGCTTCTGCACATGCCTCCGTCTCAAGTTGCGACGTCCTTCCATGGAAGCATGGCGCAATTCATCTCTCTCAGTCGAACCATGCTGCTCTGTCCGTCTGGAGAGGTCCACCACTTTGCTGCCGGACGTGTCCACATCTCGCTGCAAGCCCTCAGATCTGATTACCCGATCTCTTACCAATTCTTACGGAGCAAGCTTGGACGTCCAGCCCTGAGGCAGCCACCTTCAGCGCCAAAGTGAGCTTGTCGAACCTTACGGCAATCCGACTTGAAGCTTTTTCAATCTTGACGACTTCGAAATGACAGTGCCTTGTCCTTTGCCTACAATTGCATCAGCTAGCCCGCTCTACCATTGCGCTGAGATGTCTCTTCAATACACTGTCCGCAGCAGCTCCGCGAAAAGAACTACTGCCGACATGATTGCGATTGCCTTTGTCGTTAGACTTGCTTGCTTGCTAGCTGCTCTCGTCGAAGCTCGCGAGTGTGCATTTTGAACTCGCTCTCCAGCTGCGACCTCGGTCGGGAAGCATATGCTAGAGGGCGTGGGAGGGCAAGCAGCTGGTGGCCCAAGCGAACACACTAAGGCTTTAGCTTGGCATTCTGGAACTCGATATCTGCGCCAAATATTTCCGAAATCATCCCGGACATTTCTTCCTTGCCTGTGTCAGCAAGACGACCGGCAACACTGCCTACAGGCAAACTCCAACTAGCCGTGCTTCATGCCTGCTTCACGCCGATTGAAGAATCTCATTGCTTCAGCTGCATCTTGCGGAAGCACGCCCTCGACGGTGCCCGCTTAGGCAAGCAAAACATTGAGCAACCACTCCACGCCTCGATGAACTCGAAGAGTTTCCGAAATCGTTCCAGCTCGGCCTTTGCAGAGTGGGGAGGACTGCTGAGTTCAGGCAGCTCCAGTGGCCAGGGCTGCCTGAACATCCTTCCAGGAGCCACCGACGGATCCATCAGCAGACGGCCTCGTGTATGCGACCAGCCAGAGGATTAGCAGTCTTCACATTCGCACTGGCTGAGGCATCTAGCTCAGATGTCTTTGAAGCAGTCAATGTTGTGTTGCGGCTGGCTGGCGCCTTCCTGTCCTCGAATGACACGGCCGTTCCGCACCCGGATCCCACACGAGTCATTGTGGCGTGATCACGCTATTTCGCACAGTTTATTCTGACATGAACACGTCCGGCTCACTATCTTGCCAGGTTGCTACAGCTAGTACATGTGGTTGCATATCTGCGGTAGCGCTCTTGACCGGCTCGTCCATTGTCATCGTTGTGTGGTATCCAGTTGTGGTATGTCATAGATGCAATCACACTTGGTGGGCTATTCCACGAAACCGCAACATCTCAGCGGATTGAAAGCTGCAACCACCACATCCCCTGGCAAATGTATTGCACAAGCAGTACAGGTGGCTGACCAGATCACCATTCCCAGCGTCTTTGAACAGCTTCGTTGGCAACAGTTCTGCCTACCACCAACCCTAGATTAGAATCGGGGCTTCCAAACGCGCAAACATTCACACAACACACACACACACACGCACACATACATATGTACGTACATACATACAGACATGCAGGCATGAAGACATCCAGACAGACAGGCAGAAATCCAGAGTTAAATACATACATGCATACATGCCTGCCTGCATACACAGATACCTATGTTACGATGCTCGTATATGTATGTCTATCTGGCTGTATGTATATGCATCTACACATGAATGTAACATTCTGTATGCAAGCACAGAGTACACACGTCTGTCTGTGTGATTGTGTATCTATGTATATATGCATGCATGTATGGCAGCACGGCATGTGTATGGGCACTTCTTGAGCTGAGGAAAGCGCTACAAGTAGCAGAAATAAGACTAGCATGTGGCAGGTTCTGTTCTGGAGCACTGTCTTTATGTCTGCTGCAGCTTTATGTCTGCTGCAGCCCCTGCTGTATTTAAGGCGTTCGCAGATTATGCAAACGACTCAATGCTATATCAAGCACCATTCAAGTCGATGCAGCCAAGAGACCAGGCTGATTGACCCACTTCGACTTCGGACCTGTCAGGGACATGAATACCACACTTGCACGGGAACTGAATTGGATAGCACCACATTGGCTGCAGTATCAATCATAAGTCCTAAGTGACAGGTCCTGATAGGTGCCCACAGCCCTGGTTGGAAGCGATTGATTCTGAATGAAAGCAAGCAGGTCGACCGAACGGCTTTCAAGGGATTCATCTCTGGTGCTTGATAAGCTTAATTTTGCAGAGACTTGAAGTCGCTCTCAAGCCGAGGCCTCTCGCAACCGACCCTCCACTTGTTGGATCCTTTTCTCCGCCTTCTCCTGAAGCTCCTGATCTTCTCTCGGGATTTAGGAGGGCTTAGGTTGCTTCAGCTTCCGGCAGGTTGGGACGTGCAAAACCCCAAGTCCTCCATATCTTGCAGTCGAGCCATCAGTCGTTCGAGCTCCTCGTCGGAAACTGCCAACATGTCCTGTGCGATAGCTTGCAAATATATGCCATGAGAGCCGAAATGGGTGACAACAGCAGTCAATGTACCATGCCCTGACCCAACCCGAGCAATATCCTGCATGCTGTAGACCCAACACCCCCCCTGCCTTGTGTCTCGCATCTTCCGGCGCTGGCTCCGGCAGCTCGCTGCGAGCAGCCTCTTTTTCGGTGACAGTGACGGCCTTTGCATCACTGGCGGGCTGTGGCTGTGGTGGTGGCTGCGACAGCTGCTGTGTTTGCTGGCGCAGCACCTCGAGCGATTGCTGCACAGTTTGGATGCTCGCTTCCAGAATAGGCACGGTCCTGACCTGCGGTACGACACCCTCAACCTGCTTCACAGCTGCCTCCACCGAGGTTAACCTTTCCTGTAAAGATGCCAAAGCAGTGGATTGAGCTGCGGATTCGCTTTGCGTTTCAGGGTTTGCCTGTGTCGGTTGGACCTCCCTCACTGGTGTCTCTTGGACTTGCACCTCCTGCGATTTCGGTTCGCTCGGTACTTCGGACACACTTTGGGCAAGAGACTCCAGCTTTCTTCGCACGTTTAGCATCTCCTCCTGAAGAGATGCAACATCTCCTCTCTCGCCCTGCGCTGCTTCAGCAACGGCCTGAGTTGCCACGGTAGTAGCAGCATCTGTAGCAGCAGCCACAGCTGCGGAAATAATTGCGCTCACATCCTGGATCGGATCAACGTGCTTCGGGTCCCCTTGCGGCGGCACAGCAGCCGGCTCCGGAGGCACAGCTGGAGCGGCAAGGTCTGGTGGAGCTGTCATGAAAGCTACACTTGGATCGGCGCTGACAGCTCCGGCATGGCTGTCAGGTGGGTTTCCGGCTGAGCTGCTCTGGTTGACCAAAGGAGGCTCCGAGGTTTCTCGAGCAGCTGGGGTCGGACCAGCATCTGCCGCTGCAGGCTGTCGCACCTGACAAAAAGCCACACGAACGCACCGAAGAGAGAAGATCCCACTCGGACCACAGCCAGCACCTCAGTCCGGAGATCCTGGACTTGCCTCCGGCCCAAACCAACTTCACGACGCATCCGACTGGCTATAGGCATGCGGCCTCTCCAGCCCATCCAAGCGTGCCGTGATGGCATCCATCAATGCCATGTCGACCTGGCTGCAAACATCCGTATATACACTCCCATTACATGCCGTCATGCCGGCACTACGGAGCCCAAAATGTGGAAATTTCGACGGCGCGGCCTGGGAGCCGCCTCCCGTGAACGCTGCGGCTGGACGCTCCGACCTCGCAAGCTGCCGATAAGTTGCGGACGAGCGGTTAGATTCATGACCCCGCAAGCACCCGGCATCAGCAAACCGTCGGTGTGATCCTTCGCAAACATTTCACTTTAGATCTTGCGGTGCGCACCAGACAATACCAGACACACCTGCACCCTGCGAGTCTACCGGGTGAGCTGGCACAATTCGATGTCCTCAGTGTCTTCAGCGGCGATGCTGGAGGATGACATCGGGTTTGGAAGCGGGGGCGGAATGCTGCCCTGCACCTGTGAAGCGGCGTCAGTTCAACGCAGGGGTCCCAAGTTGAGCTGTCAGGATCCCAAAGATGTGCATAGGCCAAGCGGGCAAGAACTTCCAATCAAAATCGCCTGCGGCTGCGACGCAGGCGGCTGCGACACCGCAGCGGCTGCAGCTGAAGGCGCCTGCGCTGGCGCCGCCGGAGCCGCAGCAGGAGCCGGCGCCTCTGCGGGAGAACTTGAGCCTCCTTGGACATTGACCCGATGCGAGCGGACCTGCGGTCGCTGCTCGAGGATCTCCAGCCTGACGTGCAGCACATTGAATTGAAGACAGACCCCATGCTTGTGACATGGCTCTGCTGCGTCCTCTTGCACAAGCTAACAGCAGCGGATCAATAAACTTTGAGGGCGAGCGCAGCGAGCCCAACTATGCAGATGCACCTGAACTCGACAGAAAAGCTGATGTCTGCGCCTTGAAAAGACATCGTCTCCGATGCGCTTCAGCTGGTTGCACAGTGAATCCTGAACATCAAACACAGGCTTCTTGATAATCAAGTCTAGTGAATTGGGGTTGCGGCAGTCACGTCGGCGAGCTCTTTCTGCAAGCGCTCGGACGACTCTCGATTCCGGTCGCTCAAGGTGTTGGAGATGTTGTGAACCTCTCGAAAACAAGCTGCCCATCTGTCCAAGTAGTGAACTAGGCTTGGCGCCTCCGCCATGGTGCGCTCGCGCTGTCGCTCCAAATCACTCGAACGTGGGAGTGAGCCAACCTGCAGACAGACTCCAGCTGAAACAAGGCCCAGGGCTCAAGACGGGGCAGGCCGTGGCCTCGTGCTTTACGGCATTGATTTGCATCACGAGCATCTCCTCCTGACGGAGTCGAAATTAAGGCAATTTGCTTGCGCGCGCAGGAGCTTTGAGGCCAGTCTCGGCTCCTTCATGGATGCGCGTCTGCCATCACCGGAGTGCCTCAATAATGGGACCAGGACTGGAGGTTTAGGAGCAAAGGTGCTTCGTGTTCTTGGAGACCTGGGCTTCTGATCCGGCATTTTTACCGCTTCTCCCAAAGGCTCTGAGGGGAGGTTTCGCAAAAAGCACAACGAATTTCGGTCTAAGACTTCAGTTGCACTGCACTGGCTGCCCTTTTGCTGTGACAGTGGTGGACACTGGTATCGACAACATTGCGTTGCGCCACTGCAGCAGGCTTCGCGAGAGGCGAAAGTTGCTCAGAACTGCGCAAGGCCAGGATCACTCACTGCAGCGAACCCCCTCGGCAGTGGCCAAGGGCAGGGCGCCGGCTCAACTGCACCGACCTGTGGCTCGACTCCATTTCGGACTCTCTTTCACGCAGTTGGCAGCGGGGGCCTTCAAGCTGTCGATCTGGCTGCTGAGCGCATCCATTACGCGGTTCTGTTCCTGTGGAAAAGTGCAGAACTTGACGGGAATCGCTGAAACCCTTCGCTGCAGCTGGGCCTTCACTGTAGCCACCAGCCAAGAGAAACCTTGAATCAGCCGATCGTTAGAGATCTCGACCGAGCCGGTCACAAGCCTAGGCAGACAGAAGTTCTCTAAACAAGCACTCGCTAACCGAGGTGATCGTTAGCACACAGCTTCTGAGACCGCTGCGGCTCTGCGTCCAGGTCGAAAGGCGGTATAGGCGAGGAAGCCATTCTGTGGGGAGTGCTGACCTCAGCCAGGGAAGCCAAGGTGCACACATTCGAACCCCTGGGTCAGAAGGAAGCAGAGCAGCACTGGGAGTCGCTGGGACACGGACTCTGGACACTGAGATGCTGCTGCTGCAGAAATGCAAATGCTACCTCCTGCGAAAGTTGTTTGAACTGCTAAGAAGTTCTCCATCTTTCATGATTTCTCGTACTGAGGTGAGACCCTAGCAAGCGCGCATTGAACCAAACAGCGGTACGTTCATACTCATGCCGCATGCCTTAGCTGCCGCACGTCAGAGGTCAACATTCCGACTCCACGTGCTAGCGAACATCTTACCACTCCGTGACTGCAGGCCCTACATGGCCCGCCCTGCACACCCCTCTTGTCACGAGACACTGTGCTGCACTGCCCTGTGGCAACCGACTGCGCGCATGCAGGTCGACGTGACCTCTCGAAGTATCGCTCTCAACGCAGTGGACATGCTTTTCTGTGCCGAAGAGGCGTGAAACATGGCACTTCCGCCAATCCGCTCACAAGTGTGCATGAATCGGTTGATATGCTTCATCTGCGAACCTTGGCCATCGGTATGAACATGATGCCGGTGGTGATTACACTGCCCTATGCTGACCACAGGCCCTGACCACGTGGCTACGTGCAAAGATGCCGCTGCCAAATACCTGTGGTTGGTCTGAGATAGGGGGTGATAGGAGTGAGAGGTGTTTCGTGATGCATCATGGACACAGGGCTGGCGCACGCGCAAAGTTGGCCTAGACAGCTTAGCTGAATAGCAGCAATTCCCAGCCTTTGCCAACAGGAGCTTTTGCAACGACACAGCGAATGTTGGAACAACAATAGGTCTTCCGCCCTGTCCCACTCACGGTGTCCGGCTCGAATGCCTTCCCACTTCCCAACATGAACAGCAAAGACTCTCTGCACTGTTGCCCAACATGCCTGCAGCCAGAAATACACGGCAAGACTCTGCTGCACCACCATCACAAGATGCCTGGGCAAAGCAACTTGCAGCCACGCCAAACGAAGCAGAGTGTGCGGCGTCATCGCTGGGTCGTCTGAGCTCCAGACGTAAATGTCAAAGAGAATTGTAAATCGGGGCTGTCCTGAAAGGAATGCTGTTACTTGCCAAATCATCCTTCAACGACTACTCATCATTCAGCATCACAGGCACACGAGCATCAAACACGCGAGCGAGCAAGCGAACTAACGGGCAAGCTTCTAGCAAAAACTATTAACTCACGCGCACACATACACATACACACACACACACAAACACAGACACACACACACACAAACACAGACACACAAACACAAACACAAACACAAAAACAAACACAAACACAAACACAAACACACACACACACACACACACACCCGCCTGCGCCCGCACGAATGCACGAACACACGCATGCACACGAAGACATACTACACTACAATGCACATGATATGCAGATACATATACATACGCATTTAGATGTGTCATAGCTTTCATTGATACACACTGAAATACACACACACACACACACTGTGTACATTGCAGTCGCTCTCTCGCCTTGGGCCTTGCGCTTATGTTGCAATGAAGGTTCACTGTCGGACAGCAGCGTTCGACCAAGGTAGAGCACCTTGCGGCGTGGCCGAGAGTACATTTACACACGAAGCTCCAAGCCGGCAAAGCATAGCAACCAAAGGACGGCTGATAGGAGCTCGAAGCAGTGCGCCGCGGTGAAGAGCAGATTGGCTTCGTGCTCTTCCGCCTTGCAATCGCAAGAACAGGGGAGCCGAAAGATAAGAGAACACGCTCCAACCGGAGCGGAGCAGTAAGACTCATGCCAAATGGATGTTGTTTCTCTGCGCGAAAAAACCCACCAACACCACAACCTGCAAGCGGCGCCGCTGTGCAAGTCTTCCATTCGATACCGGAATCGATGTGTCAAGTTTGACATGCTCTCGTGTATGCAGCATTGCTTGCTGCTGCAAGGGCCCGGACCAGCGACATCGTCAAAGTCGATCGACGCAGGGCTCGCTTGCCCAGGGCAAACAACAACGGTGCCAGCAGAACCTGCAGGACAGAAAGTTTAGAGTGAGACGGAAGTGTGTCGCGCCCTGTCCTCCGAGATGGTGGGAATCAGGCCACCGACAGGTCCTTCCAGCCAGTAAGCCTGAAAGGGTGCTTGGAAGACAAAGAACATGGTACAGTAGACCTGCTTCCGTGCCTTGCTATGCATCAAAACTGCTGATCTTGCAGCAGCTCCTCCGAACCACATCCTCAAGAGAACCATCATGCTCCACATAAGCTGAATGAGCTTCGTGTCGTTGGGCACACGGCACGGCACATTCATCCAACAAAGGCGAAGCCGTGCCGCTTCCTACGGGGCTGCGACTGTCAAAGCTTTTCATGAAGAATTCTCTGTCGGCCAGTCTTCACAGTTGGCCCTGCCTGATCGCAAAACAGCAGAGAGAACAACGATCAGCCGCAACATCACCTCAACGGAAATTGCATCGGCTTGCAACACACAAGAGCATGTCTTGAGCCTATGTGCCGCTTCGAATCACAGCAGGCAGGGGGGGGGACGAGGTCAGAGACTGAGAGAGAGAGAGAGAGAGAGAGAGTGCTTACATTTGCATGGACCGGCGTGCCCGTGCATGCGCGCTTGCTTGCACGTGTGCGCACGTCGTTGGGCGTGGTTAGTCGGGGGCGGCGCCGTGCTGTCCCGTGCCGTGTGCGCATGCGGGTGCGCATGCGTGTGCATGTGCTTGTGTGTATATATCTATATCTATATCTATATCTATATCTATATCTATATCTATATATATATATATATATCCATATATTTGCATATGTATAGATAGTACACATATACACGTATCTATCTATCTGTCTCTGGGCAGGTTTGTGTGTGTTTGTGTTATCCTGCTGTACATGCGAATTTCTGCACTCATGACGGTTTTTTCATGCATTTCATGGTTTCCTTTCTTTTTCCTTCCCGATTGCAGCAGGGGGCGCGAGGTCCTTTGACAAAGCTCGCGCCAACGAAGCTCTTTGTCATATGGACAGGTAAACGTACCTGCGACCAGTTCCTGGGTGCAAGAGCGCAGCTGGATTGGTCACATTTGAAACCATCATAATGATTTTCGCAGTTGTTCAAAACTTTTTACCTTACTTTGCTTTCTGAAAACTCGGACATGTCTCTCGAAGCTTTGTACGGTTGCTGCAATCTGTCTGTGCATAATCATGAGAGTCTCTGCATTGGACGATCAGAACATCCAGAAGGCGGGTCAGTAGGAGACATTTCAATTGTGTTCGACAAGAGCTCCCTCATGAGGGCCTTGTCGCTTTTCGGCGAAGTTGCCGGCCCACCGGGGTGCTTGTGTTAGCAGGTCTGGAAATCAGGTAGGATGGCGACAGCTTTCGCTGCGCAAACATGTCCAAGTGGAAATCATTGTGTGGAAATCAGCCCTTTGGAAATCACAGTGGAGATCATAGTGGAAATCATAGTGGAGATCATTTGTACAAAGCTGCCATGGATCGTGAACGAAGCCCCCGTCGCAATCCTTATTGGAGCTTCTCTACCCCAGCTGTGGTTCCTTCCCCTCCTGCGAGTTGGCAAAATCCCGTTCCCCGTCCCGCCCCACCCGTGACCCGCCCGATGGTGCTTCAACCGCAGAATCTCACGTGGCAGCCCAATCCCCGTGCTGCCCAGATTATGAATATTTCGCCCACCCCTCGCATTCCAGGACTGCAATCCCAACCTGATGCCAAGTCACCTAAAGTCTTTGGACCCATGCTACCCGCTGAGTTCTGCCAGAATCCGAATTATTTGGATTCGCGATCTATTGCAGGCTTGAATCTGGCTCGTTGGGTTAAGAAGACTGAACGGTCGGTTCGAAAGCAGATTGACGGATGTCCGACACATATGGTACCGATTCACTCATTGCTTTATCAAGGTTGGAATTCATATTGGATCCGTCACATTGCTGAAGGAAAGCCGACATTCTTCGCGGGCTTCAAACCGATTGCGGAGATTGTATTCTGTCATGCATTGTTCGGAAAATTGCGAGATGAGGAAGTTGACCTGGATGAGCTTGCTTCTATCGTGCAGAGTACCAGTGACCCTGCTTCGAAGAATGGTGCTTCGGACTCCAAGTCGCAGGCCACACATCTGTTGGCACAGAATGTTGTTGACCACATGCTAGGTCTGTACCCTCAGGCTTCAGTTGATACGGAGAAGGCAGCCATGGCGAATCAGATTCAGATGCTCCAACAGCAACTTGCAAACTTTGAGAATGCTTCCCCCTCCCGATCTTCCAACCAGGCTACTGCAGAACAGAAAGGCTTGCCGATTCAGGAAAGCCCCCCTGGACCAGTGTCGGAGCCAGCAGCTTCTGTTCAAAAAGTTCCTGATGGTACAAATCCTCTTCTTCGGGGCCAGACGGCCGAGCCGAAAAGCAATCTTATGCAGGCCTTCCAGAAAGGCAAACCATCCGGGAGCCAGGTTGAACCGTTGAATGTTGAGAATGGCGAGGTTGAGACGCAAGGTCGCAGTCCAGGAAACTCTCAGTTTGAATATGGCACGTCCTCGCATGTTGGACAGGTTGTCAAGAGTGTTCTCACGGGCGTGTCCAAACGTCATTTCTTGACACGAGGTTGGAAAACTTGCAAGTCGGACAAAGAAGTGTCGGCATGGATCGAAGGGTTGACCTTGAGCAAAAACAACCGCACGAAGTTGGCGACATGGACAGCCCATGTCCAACGATGGCATGCAGATCTTCCGTCCAATGAACAGGCCGAATTGGATCAGGTTGTTGCTAACTGGGGCATTCCCATTCGTGATGTTGCCAAGCTCAAAGCAGGCTCGCTGCTGCGTATTTTAGCTGTCGGAACGATTCTTGTGGCTTGACTACAAGCCATATTGGACGATAGGGACAGATACAGCAGCGGAAATCCACCACAAGGATGGTGGCGAAAGCACCGAAGTGACGTGGACTTGCTTCGGAATGCTCATCTCTTTTTCCAGAGTGTCTACGAGACACCCACCATTTTCGGACAACGGTGGATGGACATTGTTATTTGGGTCCGTGGAAAGCTCCTTTTGCTGGCATGTGAGTTCGGGCTTGTACAGTTGCCGTTGACCACTCAGCTTCGTTTAAAGTGTTCCAGTTACACCTGGAAATTCTTCCAGACTAGGTCGGTGATTTATTGCCGCATATTTCTCCAGCCCGAGTTGAAGCAATTTATGTATGTCGGATCTACATCCCAGACGTTGGGAGAGCGCGAACGCACTCGATGGGCGAAGTACAAGCAGATATGTTCTGGCAAGTCAGTATGTCGGGAACTTTCGCTGTTCTGGCATTACCGACGACGGAATTATCATTTGGCCGTTCCGTTGCTGATCATGCATGTGCCTCAGGGCGACTGTTTGCATATGCTTGAGCAGACGTTTATCAACTTGCTTCAGCCCCGCCTCAATGCTCCCTGGGTCCGGTCGCTGGTAAAAGCTAAACATGCACATATTGCCAATTCCGACCCTGTCAGATGTGTTCGCAGATTTGTGACGTCGTGGAGAACTTTCAGGCGTTTTCGACGTAGGAACCTCCGGCTCACTGGACTCACTCCATCTGTGTTTCGCTCCACTCATATCATTCAGAATATTGTCTACAGTTACCAGATTCTGTTTGATTTGGCATCGGACGGCTTGAAATCTTTTCTTGCCCAGAAGTATTTACGCAGCAACAGAGTTGACTCAGATGTTCTATACAGATTGTTTCGGATGGCCACTCACTTGGGTGACCCTTTCTATGAGACGATCTGCAGGTCCAGATTGAACAATGTGCTGCAATTCAGACAGCTGAGGTGTCCGACCACATGTCGTCCTCTGTCCACTCCGTTTCTGTTGCCGGAGGCAGGTTTCAAACGCTTGGTTCGTGGCATGTTGGGTGATATCCTGGACGTTTCGTCTGACAGATTGTTACCACACCACATCCCGTCGACTGCGCTTGTTGCCAGAAGTCACCCAAAGATCAAGGACATTCTCTTTTCGCACAAACGAATTCTACATCTGTGGGACCCACATGAGGACCCACAAAAGGCCGGTGTCAGGTGTTGTTGTTGTTGTTGTTGTGAACTTCTTCAACATCATCCGGACTTGACTGTAGGACTGTAGTTCAGGGTCACATTGCATCTTCTGCCACTCTGTTGTCCTTGCCGGACGAACTTGCTCAGTTGGCCCAGTCAAGCTGTGCCAATCCAGTGTTCATGACTGAAACTGAGCATTGGCAGATGTTTTATGATGATGTGAGACAGTGGATTGCCCATCACGGTCTGGTGCATTACCCGACCAATGATATTCGATGTGCTTGGCAGAAAGCTTGGAACTTGCATTTGAAGCATGTCGGAACTCATTGGACGGTTGATACGGTTCGAGAGTTGAAAAACTGGACCAAAGGACTGGTGTGGCATGTCCGGGATCATGAAGGCTCTCATGCACATGTTTTCTGTCCTGTGAAGTATTGGATGATGCTTCAGAACACGTTCACTGCCGAATCGGTCTTTCAGCCATTGTCACTAAACACCTCGGCGATCCTGGCCCAAATGGAACAAGCGGTGCCCAATCGGATTCTTGAAGCATTCCCGTTCCGCTTTGGCTCTCGTTGTGCCCGTGTGTCAACGGCTTATATTCTCCCTAAGTTCAAGAAAGACTGGAAAGGGGGAAGGCCGATCGTGAGTTTTGCATCTCACCCGGCTCGCCAGTTCTTGGTAGTGATGGCAAAGGTCACTGAGATGCTTGTTGCTGAAGTCTGTCCTCGCACGAGATCCTACAACGATGCAATCTTGTTATGGCAGAATATACATGCCTTCTTTGAAAATAGTTGCCATGGTCTTGAGGACGGTCGACGGACAATTGCCATGCACAATCAAGACTTGTCAGGTTTCTTCGTGAGCATTCCGAGGGAACGGTTTATGATCACGTTCCGTATTCTACTTTGTCGCTTCTATGACGTTGTGGATGAAGACCTGGATGAAGCCTTGAAGGGTGTTGTGGTGACCGTGGACTTGGAAAACAATTTGTCTGTTATGAAAACTATTCGTGGTCGACATTGTCTGCTGCATGACAAGCGGACGGCTGTTCCTATGGACTTATTCATGGAAGCTGTACAGGTGTCGTTCAAGTTCAACCTATTTGTGGTAGGACAGCAGGCTATTCAACAGATCCGAGGAGCGCCGATGGGCAGCCATTTCTCCCCGGCAGCTTGCCATGCCGTGGTGAGCTTGTATGAGCATATGTACTTCGGAAAATGTCTTCTTGAGTCCGCTCGCTTGCCAACGTATGGCCTCGTTGTCAGATATGTGGACAATCGGCTCAGCTTGATATTTGATCGAAACGCCAGTTCTGTTGCTGTGCAGGCCTTCCTGCATCAGGATGTGTATATACCGCCTATTGTATTGGAGTATGAAGATGGGAACCTTTTCCTGGGTTTCCAT